CACTCGTTGCACTTTTTTCATTCACCATACTATGACCTTCCCATAGCAAATGTATAGTATTCGCTTACTTTAATTTTTAATTGTTTACACGGCTCACATAATTTTGATGCAATCCAATCCCTTTAAAATACTTTTCACGAATTAAAAACCTTTTTTGTTTACAAATTTCGTCTCCGCCGTTTGCAAATTTTCTTTATTCTGTACTGAGAATCACTCGTGACTGCGTTGCCAAGTAGCTGTGCAAATGAGTGGCGTTGCCAATCGCACTCGCCTTTCGTATTGCGTTTTGTGCTTAAAGTGGCTATTAGACGTGGCAAAACTCTGGCAAACTTAAGAATTTCTACGATTACATTGACAGCTACACCTTACAAATGTTCAACACTCGAATGGATTGCACTTGCAGCAAACATAACAAATACTAGTGCGGCACGAGCAAATTCAAGTTATTTCACAAAAGCAATTTGCGTCCTTTGAGTTGCAATAGACCTACATATTTTTTAATTCCGAAAGTTTTTCCTACAGATTTGCCAAAAGTGCATAATATATACCCTCTCCTTTATTTCTTTAGGAAAGAGTGAGGCAACAGGCTGATGAATTATTAGATGTCAAAGTTCCTTAGACACACACACGAAATAATGGCAATTTTTCCTTGACCGTTTTCTTGAGAACTGCATATTGCCCTTTAAAGACCAAAATAAGGTATATGTGAATTACTATTGCTAGCATATTGTCAAAGTTTTTTTTGCTGCATACATACTTTTTTAAATCATGGTAGCATACCTTCTACGCCTCATGCTTTGTTGTCAAAGTTCGTACTGTCAAGCTAAGCGAGTAAAGACGTATATAAACGGCCCTTTAGGACTTGTTGGTGGTTCTTTGCCTATTCAATTGCAACTCTGCCAAACAACGAAACTTTTCAAATCGAACAAAGCTGCAAATTGACGACGTGTTTCGCAATTGGAGCGGGGATAATTTCTAGCTTTTCGAGGAGAAATAATATTTAATTACAAGAAAACATGGATCGACGGTAGTATCAGTATTTGAAAATTATACAAAATCGTAAATGTATATATTTTTAGCAAAGCTTTGGCCCTAAGAAATAGAAGACTGCAGGATCAGCAGCGGCACGCGGTCGATGCACAAAATCAAAATGGCTTCAGTCAAAAGGAAAATAGACAAAACTCGATTGTAAGTGACTGGAGATACTACTGAAAATCATAAATTTTATTAATTGCTTTCAAACAGAGCTCTCCCAGCAGTACATTGAAAGAGGGCAACAATGCGACTGGTATGACTTTGCCAAAAGGCGATTGCACCGCCTGCCGGAAGCAGGCAATTTGTGTTTGCCAAAGGTGTGGCGATTATTATTGCTCACCGGAATGTCAGCGGAAAGATTGGCAAAGTCATCGTTACATATGTTTTCCGATCCCGTAAGTACCTAAAATTATCATAATAGTTAAGGTAAGATAATTGTTCGGAGTATTTGTCCATGTCATAAAAAAAATGTTTTCTGTACGGAGTCCCTCCGGCGCACAATACGTGTGGTATCCGGATAATCAGGTACTGGTTTAATTATTGACACACAATGCAGGTTTTGGTACGGGTACCTCGCATGCGGGTTTTTGCCGTTCTCAAGTCTGCGTAACCGGAACTGCCCAGATGTACATATATGTGAACAAGGACTGTCACTCCAGCGTCAATGCCCAAAAACCCTTCGGGGAATTTGTAACTTGTTACAGCAACCACAACACGAGTTTCCGCACATAATACGAGTTTTGGTACGGGTTAAAAATTCCAAATTTTCACCCTTTTAAGAAGGTATTTATTATAAAAAAACGCTACAGTCGAAAATATGGGCTTAACATCGCCATAATGTACTATTTGTGTTTTCTCAAAATAAACTTTTTTTTTTTTTAATGAAACGGTAAGAAATGTTGGCGGAGGGTTTGTTCAACTAAATCAGTCCTATTGCCCATCCCATATGAATAAATTCTGTGTTCGTATGGAATAATTGCTTATGTCGGAAAGCTGGCTTTAGTATAATGCGGCCTTCCCTTTATTCTTTAAACGACAAAGAATTTTTTGATGAGACTTAACAAGAATATTGACTTGCTAGTATCAGAACTATTTTTGCAAGTTTATTATCCAAAAGTTCTTCAACAGCTCGGCGCCAGTGAGTCATTCGCAATCGTTTGCTGCGAATGCCGTATTGTTCCCATAAATTAATATGCAAATCAAAAAAAAAAAATAGTTTTTGTTTTGCTTGATTATTTTTTGGGAATATTTGTTCACGTGAAATTCCCGATAGAGCCGATATCACTTTCTAATAGTTTTCTCTTTAATGGGGGCATATTTCCCCACGTATATATGCACGCCACCTTGACTATTTATATGCACAATAAGATTTATAAACCTTTGATAACATAAGCGAGGAGTATAGTATAATAGATATAACTTAGTTTGTGATATTAAAGGATCCCTGATAAGTCCCTAAAGCGCTCTGAAATTAATATAGATGCCATGGCAGACCTCTCCAAGTACATTCGGGCTGCAAAAAAGGTTTGCAGGAAAAACCCTTACGTTTATTTTATTACGGAGGTAGCGTAAAATTGAAGGCCCTTCCATAAAAACTCTTGGTACACAATGATACGTTACGACAAAAGGAAGCAAATTTCATTTCCTTTAAAGAGTGATAATTTGTCCCTCGCTATAAATATGATGGTTAATTTTCCCTAAACAATGTAGTAAATTCACTTATCTTTCTAAAAATGTCGACAAAATAAGCTTTTATAAGCCGGATATTTGAATAATAATAGGCATGTTTTATTCAACCATCACAAGCAAATAGCTAAATCTTGGTCAAATAAAACGAAATTAGCTTATTTCCTATGTTAGCCTAATTTTGACAGTTGTTTGACTGCAAATAGTGTCAATGTGAGTTTTTGCCTCTTTCTGATTGGCTGAAGAAGAAAATTTCTGATGCTGAATGGCAATGCCTCTTGTTCAATATACAAGCCAAGATAGCTTTTCATAAGCCAATATAATTATGTTGGGTAAGTCCTCCATACAAAATAAGCTAATAGCTTAAATTTCTGGACAAATAAAACACGGCTAATATTAAAATTTTGACGTTTATACTTTTGCTAAGTGTTTGGCCGAGAGTTTCTCCTCCAATTTGTGGTGTGTATCTTGATGTTGTTACACAAATGGAGGGACTTACAGTTTGACGCCTTCGAGCGGCAAATTAATTTTATGAGGACTTTTTTCATGGCAGAAATACACTCTGAGGTTTGCCATTGCCTGCCAAGGGCGACCGCTGTTAAGAAAAAAAGACGCAACGCTCTTATGTAGGTACCCAGCAGATAATTTCAGGAGCTAAAAGACCTTCTTTAGAGTCAAGAGGACTTTTACTCTACATTCATTTCTCCTTTCTTTTTGTACCCATGTAAGGGCTTTTAAATGTCGTAGTTCAGAAGGCCTTTTAAAAACTTCTAAAGCTGCTCCTTTAGTTCATAAAAATCATACTTTAATCTGTTTATTTAAGCTTGCAATCTAAAATGCATATTTAAATTCCTTTATTATGTTAAGGGCTATAGTTTTGTATCTGCATAAAGAAAAAGGAGTTTTGCCCTACAAATCTACTAAACTAAGAGCAGCCTTAAACTCGCTCTGAAAAACTGGTCAATAGTTTAAACTTAGTTCAAATTTAAATTGATTTTAACTAAACTTCGTTTAAACTGAGTTTAAACCAGCACTGAAACCCCGGCCCCAAGTAATATAAAATTACGCATTCACGTATTGCCTAAGTCAGACGTGGCAATGCAATATACATATTTCGAAAAGGCTGTCAAATTGAGAAATTTCAGAAAGCAGTTGCATGAGGAGGTTTTTTTTATTTTCGAATGGCGAATTGCAGCAAGTTGAAATATATTTCCGAAATTGATTTGCGCTCTCAATTGCAGTCACATCTTGTAACTTTTGTTTCTGAGACTTTCTGGTTGTTCACACATCGAAATAATAATTCTCTTTCTCAATTTGACGGCTATTTGCGGATAAGTTGTAAATATTGCCACGTCTGACACGCTCTTTAGAATAGCAACTTTCACAAATGATATGGATCCTTGATATGGGCTCGTAGGTGATTAGAATTTATAACAAATATACATATGGTCAACANCAACTTTTATTTCTGAGACTTTCTTTCTCAATTTGACGGCAATTTGCGGAAAAGTTGGAAATATTGCCACGTCTGACACGCTCTTTAGAATAGCAACTTTGACAAATGATATGGATGGATCCTTGACATGGGCTCGTAGGTGATTAGAATTTATAACAAATATACATATGGTCAACATTTTTGAAACGTTATGTGATAATAAACCTCAAAGGCTACATTTTATATACAGAGACTTGTTTCCTATCATCTGTTGTTTTAAAGATAAATATGGCTTTAAGTGGCCTTTAACGTTAAATTTTTTGGAAGTCAATAGAAGATTAGAAGACGATTTGAGAAGCTATCGATAACACTATGCGACAGTCAAAATCGGGATGGGATGAAACCCACGGGAAATGTTATATCGGTCAAAAACAAGTTATACGTGGCCCGGCGTTTCGCTGGGTCACGTCTAGGAATCGAGATATATCGATTTGAAGTTAGTAACTATCATATAGGGGAAATTGTCACCTTTGGTGGTCTTTTTTTTTGACATAACTCGAGAACCACTAGTCCGATTTTGCTCAAACAAATTTAAAAAAAATTAAAAATTACAATTCCATTGATCTGTTAATATAACGTTTTTCTATATACTCAACAGTTTTGCCGGTAAGAATAAGTTATGTCAAAAAAAGACCACCAAAGGTGACAATTTCCCCTATATGATAGTTANTTCCTAGACGTGACCCAGCGAAACGCCGGGACACGTATAACTTCTTTTTTACCGATATAACTTTCCCCGGTAGTTTGAACCCTTCCCGATCACTGACCCCTACCATTTGTCTCACAGTGTAATTATAGCATTCTCTACAAAAGGGACTTAGGTTTCGATATCGCAAAAAAGGTTATATAACTAATCGTATTCTAACGTTTTAATCTAATGGTGATTTCGTTTCTAACAAAAAATGTCGCATTTTCATTGCACCTTTCTCTTTTCGTGTTCGATTCTAAATTAAGTGCGAAAAAAAATTGTTTGTTCCTTTTTTAAAATGTCACACCTTGTAAGACAAAAATAAGGCACCTTTTCTGTCCTTTGAAGCTTTGTCAGGGGAGATGTTTGCCCTGAAAATCAGATGTTTGCTTGACGCGATAATATGATGAAATGCGTGTGCTGGACAAGGACCAATAGCTCGTTTCTTTCCAAGACTTAGTTCGAAAGTGTAAATTCGACCATGAATCATCAAATATGAAGAAAATGAAGATGAGGAAGTAGAAACCACGAATGATGAAACCCGTGAAAGTAATTCAATCTTTCGTTTTCACATGACCAGCCCTGCCCCCTTTTGGCAGAAAGACCACATCCGCCTTTATCTACTCTTACGGCATGTGAGTTAGGCAGGCTGTAAAAATCTTAGAAAGATACTGTCCTAAGCTGTTTCACGTTTCAACTGAGTACGAGTGTGTGCTAGAACCGGGCGAAGTATCGGAGGTGTCGTCAGAGCACTTAGGAATTGAGTGGTTATAATAGTCTACACCATTTAGCGTTCCGCCCTCTTTGCAGGTTCCTTGAAAAACTTGTGTGCATCCTTTTAGGGTTGCCAAAATTCCTTGATCGAAAAGCCTCCTACTGAAATCTCAGAATTCTACCACTAGAGTATTTGCCCTACAGGAGGGTGACCTGAAAACAGCATTTGTCACAAAGTTCGTCGCTTAATGTATTTTTAACAATCTACATATGTCGCATAGCTTCAAATGACTTTAAGTTCTTTTTTTTTAATACGAATTGTTTTCTAATCGTTCTCTAACCTGTGCAAATGTTTGTTGGGGGATTTTTCATCCCAACACGCAGTTGCCCCTCCCATTCTCGATGTTCCCATAACTGTTGTGCCTGTTTTGTTCTTTAATAAAAAAACGTTCCCCATACTTTTGTTCTTGTTTGATCCTCCTTGAAAACGTACTCCATACTTTCGTGCTTATTTCGTTCGCAATTGAAACGTTCCCGAAAGTTTCGTTCTCAAAACAAACAAAACAAAATCGTAGCGCTGTTGATAGTTTTAAAATATTTTAAATAGATTNGTTCGCAATTGAAACGTTCCCGAAAGTTTCGTTCTCATTCTAGTCGTACTACGCTACCGAGTTTTTCGTTTGAATTTGGGCCCTTATTATGACCTGCATTCGATGTTCGATCTTCGCTGGCTATCGAAAGCTTCTCAGCGGTGAAATATATACTATTGTGAACAACCTAAACGAGCGAAATTCACAATAGCGCTAATCTTCATCGAATGAGCTCCATAATACCAAATGANGGCCTTGGTTCTTACGGGAACGTTCCAGAACCTTTTGTTCGCATATGGTTTTCGTTCAAGCTACTCTCAANCCTTGGTTCTTACGGGACCGTTCCAGAACCTTTTGTTCGCATATGGTTTTCGTTCAAGCTACTCTCAATACTTTTTATTTATTTATTTATTTAAGTCTATGGTTTTACAGAACCGGTTTGTTCCGGTTTGGTTCTTTTGCGGGAACGTCCTTAACATTACATTTTGTTCTCGTGCAGAACTAAACCAAAACCGGAATGCGTTCTCGGTTCCTCATTAAAATATTCGTTTTGGTGGTCAGGAAAAGGCGTGTCTTACATTAATAACCGCTGCATAAACGCTCGTATGTAGTAATGTTAACCTCCATACTTAAGCGGTTATTGATAATTAAATATACATATGTACATACAATTATAGGTATGTACAAACCTAATTTTGTTTTAATATTTCTGTTGCAGTCCTTTGGTCTTTCCTACAGCGACTCAGTCTCCAACCATGGAATATGGCGGCGATCAGCCCTTGCTGACTGTTAACCAAATGCAATTAGCAAATGTTTCATTTGGAAATCATACGCAAACACCTAACGAAATGTTCAATGGCAACAATTTTTCGCAACAACATCAAATGAATAGTCAATATCAACAACAACAACATCAACATCAAATGAATAGTCAATATCAACAACAACAACATCAACATCAAATGAATAGTCAATATCAACCACAACAACATCAACATCAAATGAATAGTCAATATCAACAACAACAACATCAACATCAAATGAATAGTCAATATCAACAACAACAACAACAAAGACTTAGTCAGAACATTAATAAGGCTTCACCGCAAAATACCAATAAGGTACAGAAACACAAAGAACCCACTGCTACTTTGCCAAGAGCTGAACTCCCGAAGACAAACAGCCATGTCATATTGACCGGTTTACGTACGCCAAACCGTGGCTACATACGCGCTCTTACCCCTGCCGAAAATGATGAGTACTTATCGAATGCACGCAAAATCGATAGTTATGGCAAAAAAGCCCCAGCTATGAGCAAAATGCCTAAAACACATAGTTATGCCATTGCGCCGTACGAAGGTGTCATGTATCGGGTGGAGGTGCTGATGGTGCGTAATCCCGAAAACATTCGGGTACTTTTCATTGACCGCGGTATCGTTGCCTCACGGCGTCTTAGCGAATTACGTGAAATCACTGACGAAATTATATTACTAAAGCAACATTCCTGCCTGATACCTTTGCGTAACGTGTCTAATTATGTGCTTAACGAAAAATTGGTGAAGAGGTTTTGCACATATGAAGACCTCGAATTTAAAGTAAAATATGACCGAGTCGAAGATGGTGTGGAACTTTTGTATTGGCAGACAGAGAAGTCACTAAATGATGAAATAGAGCAATTTTGTAAGGACGCAGGTGCTGAAGTTTGGACGGATACCACGCGTTCGAAATCGGAGCAAACCGGGAAGAAAAGTAAACCCGTTGAAAAGAATACAAAAGTTGCCGAAGCGAATGCTAAGGATTCTAAAATACAAAATTCAGCTAATAGGGACGAAAGCGCAGGTGCTGAACACGACGATCAATACTATGCCGTAGGTGGAAGTGCTCAAAACTCCACTGTGAATTCGCAAGTAAGTGTAAGGCAGCAGCAGCCCAAACCGATAGAGGAGGCTAAAAAACCGCAGAATGTTGAGAAAATTGTAAAGAATATCGAAGAAGTGGAGCGTCCTACAATGACTCCTGTAAGTGTTTCTTAAGTTCATTGTATCTAACGGATAATATATTATACTTTGTATATATTCTCTTGCAGCCATTCGAAACTCACTTGTTCCAAGTAGGCTGTGCACCATTCACAGCCATTGTGCTCGATGTATCTTGGTTGGAAATCGGTCATATTGGCTGTATAGCTCAAACTGATTTGGCTTGCCTGCAGACTGTGCAAAAGCAAATCAGCTCAATTACTATATCGGACAAACCATACGAGCCGAAGTGAGTATTTGTAATTATAAGTTGCTTAAACTAGGTAAGTATGTATATAGTTTTTTGGCAAAATATAATAATGAGCCAGCGTTGGGCTGGCTCGCGATACAGTAAAAGATCAACGTAGTGCTACGTGGAGACAGGGGAGCAAAAAAGAATACATTCAAGCCATCATATATTTACTTGTTGGTGTTGGTTAATTCTACTGAAATGGTAAAAATTTATGTAGCGAAAATCCCTCGTCAAATTTGATTCGGAGACAAATCAGATTCGGTGTTGTTCATTTTCAGTGTTCAATTTTTCATTCCAAACGTAACTTGTTTGCAGCGGTGCGTTTGAGGCACATAGACGTAGTCTCGAGTTATGTAGACTCCCGACCTGTAAATGCCATTCTGGGCATACAACCACCAGACGTGGACGAGACAACTTCACAATTTTGGTATATTTTTTGCATTTTGGTACATGTTTTGGTACACAAAAAAAATGAGTAAGTGGCAACCGAGGTTGTGTACTACAATTCCACCAGTTTGCATTTCAGCCCAACTAGTTCACGTTCTATCCTTTTTCAATGTTAGGGACTGGTGTTTGTTGTTGTAGCGGCACTACTAAGCCCCGCCTGTTTCGGGTCAACTTTTAATCATTATCGTCCAGCTCAACTAACGGTAGGCCCAGGAAACGAGCTGTTTCGATGGGGTCGGACCAAAGGGAGAGGGGTGTTAGTTGAGTCGGATTGAGCTGGCATGTGAAGAGGTGGTTGGTGTCGTGGGGGGAGTCTCCACATGCCGGGCACTCATTTGGGATGTTTGGGTCGAGTCTGGACAGGTAGCTGTTTAGGCGGCTACAATATCCAGACCGTAACTGAGCCAGGGTAACGCGGGTCTCTCTAGGTAACTGAAGCTCCGTCTCTTCCACAGGTGGTGATTGGGTAGGTGGAGACAGACTCCCTATGAATGTCGTTGATCGCTCGTCTGTACGTCATTGGGTCCAGTGGTTGGTCTGTGTGGGTCTGGACTGCGTCCTTGTACATGAATAGGTGCCGCCTGACGTGCCTGGGCGGAGGCTCCTCCTCCAGCAGTGGT